TCATTATTAATGCTTATAAAGTTACGAGATCTTACGAGCGCTCCGTTCGAACGGAATAATTTAATTAGATCTCATATGATTACGTTATGCGTATTATTTCGAAATGAAAATGCGCAAGTTTTTTCGATTTGGAGATTAATAAAAAAAAAAAAAAATTGATGAATTATGGAATAAAAAAATTTCATTTAAGCATTAAAAGTTTCCGATTAAAAGTGTATTAACATTTTTGTATCGGAGATATATCGTATCTCGGTAGTTTGTTATAAAAATATATTTTTTTATTCTCACGAGAATTTTAATTCAAAAATTAATTGAGACGGCAAGAATATTATAAATCGAAGGGAAAAGCGTCGAAATCAAATTTTCATTAGGGAAAAACTAACTTCAATTTCCATCGGAGAGATATAGAGATTCCGGTCATATATACTCATCAAATATATGCTTCGAAGTATATCACACGAGAGATCTCCCGTTTGGAGATTTCTCTTCTAATATTTTCTCTCTCCGGCAGTAGGAAGTACTCAGATTGATTTCCGAGGACAATCGAAATATAGGCAGCGAGCTTACTTATCTCTCGCAATAAAGGCTACGTACACTTGGTGAAGAAATATTGTTGCTTTTACTTTGATGATGCGATCGAGTGACGCAACTTCCAGCGGAGCTCTTAACGCAATATAATTTTTGTCAGTCCAGACAGACAGTTATGAATTATACTTAATAGAGTGTAATTGAAGTAGACGTTAATTAGCAGGAATTTTCTTTGAATAACTCGGGATAATTTTTTTTCTTAAACATTTAATTGCTCGCTGTACTCTTTCACAACTCGCTAGTTTCCCAATTATTGACCATTTTAACTAAGTAGCCGGGTAAAAAATCGTTACAAAATTAAAATCTTTTCGAAATTAAGGGAAGAATAAGACCAAGGGCTTGCCATTTATTTATGAAAGCTCTTCTTTAACGTCGTCCTTAACAAAGTTACGAGCCGTTCGACTTTTCGACGCGCGAAAAAAACGATTCATCTTTCGTCGCTTGTAATGCGAAAGGGCGGAAGCGCTTTTGCGGTTTTTACAACCCGCGCGGAGTTCCTCAAACGTTTTTCTTTGCCTCAAATTGTCGGCAATTAGTCATAGAGATCGCGGAAATTGCCCAGCGAGAAGGGCAACAGTCGTCGCTGCCGGCGCGACGGGGCGCAAGGGGGGCGGGGGAGGGAGGGGGGGAGAGGGAGTTGCGGAAAATGGTAATTCGTGGCGGTTCCTTTGAAATGGTCGGCGGAGAGAAATGATCTGACGTTAGACCGGCCCTTCATCGACGTCAAAATACATCGCGGTGAGCTTACGCTCGGCAGTCACCGTCGCTGAGACGATTCTTCCGGAATGAAAGCGACGAGGTGAACATCATCGCCGCGCCGGCCGGGCGCGCGGCTCTTGCAAGGAGAGACGAGTCCGTCATTGAGTGTTACACGTAATGACGGACGAGCATCGAGACGAGCAGCAGTGAACAAAAGAGCTTTACGCCATCGCGTCCATCCGAGCTCCTTGTTGTCGCCGCCTGCACGTTAAGACCCGCCGTGAAAGGCTCTTTTATCCACCGGGAACGTATTTAAAGCGTATTTTAGTCGCCCCATCGGGGCGAGTTTCGTGCGCCACTTTGAAAAATTATCCCGTCCCGTCCGATGGCACGTTTCTCGTCACACCATCGTGGTTCACGATAGAAAATATAAAAACTCTCCGATCGTATTTGCCTCTCACGTGTGTTTTTACGATACATTAGGTTTGCGATTGAAACGCTCGCGAAAGAGACGACGCTTTTTCTGTCGGAAGACAACCGGAATGTCTGATCCGCCATCGGGACGATTTTACGAAACATTCTAGTTAATGTTACTTTTATTTTTACTTCTCTTCATCATTTTAGCGATAATGGATAATTTATTTTTATTTATTTTACGAGACGGCATTGTATGGCTATCCGCACCGGTGAATTCTTGTCCCATTTTACTCGCATTCTCTCTGTCTTGAAAATAACGGGCATATGGGACGTAAAAGGACGAGCATTTTGCGGGTAAATCCAATCTGGGTACAAAAGCGCTTTGCAAATCCAATCCGTGAAATTCTAAGCGAGCGTTCATCGCTCCACTTGGTCGCACTTGTGCAAATAGCACTAAAAGCGTCCAGACTCATAAATTATTCGCACAAGAATGTCGCTGAAGTCGCTACCTGTTGAAGCCTTGGCGCACCAATATCCCCAGGTTTCTTCGAGAACCTTTTTTAAGTCGTAACGAAGCAATGGACAATGCATATTCATTTCAGGATTCGTTTCGTATCTTTATCGATCCGACCGATTTTACTCAAAGATCAAACACTAGAATGCATAAATTATGCGAGGTACCGAGTATATAAGGACGGTGTTGATGCTTTGCTCTTGGAGGCCTCTTCTTTTTAATGTGGAAACGATCGTAGATCGATAAGCCAGAAAACCAGTGTTATTAAATAAATCAGTAATACGAATTAATTACCGTTCTAGTGAAAAATATAATTCGTCCATTTTTTTAAGAGATAATTTTTTATTTTCATGAAGGAAGATTTATGGTAAGACCGTAACACCCTGTACATATCGTATTTGACATGTGACACGCGAGATTTTGATATTTCCAGATTTATGCGTGCATAAACGTGCACGCGACTCTCGTAAGACCTCGAAGGAAAGTAGTAATGTCGAGCCACGAAGCGTAAAATCTCGCGTGCCTACGTCATCATAATTATGCATGCACGTATTTTGCGCGTGGCAAGTAGTAATTCTCGTAACGTTACTTTTCGAAAGTAGCTTTGGCACATAATATGTTGTGCCTTGAACGTGTCCCGACATCGTTTTCTTATCTCTTGTACGAAGATAACGTTTACGTTTTCTAAGTCGGCCACTCATTTGCAGATTATATATAGGACATGAGTTTTTCAAAGAAAAACGCTATCTTTGCAAAAAACTTGCCCCTTTTACAATTGAATTCCTCGTAAAAAATCCTAGCGCTCTTTTAAAACGGATTAAGGAATTAATTATTCGAAATTTTATGTAGAGGTAATTTAAAATAATTCGACAGATTGATCGTTACAAGCGAGAGAGAGAGAGAGAGAGAGAAGAAAGAGAGAGAGAGAGAGAGAGAGAGAAAGAGAGAGCTTAATTTGATGCTGGATTAGTAAGATTAAAAATATCGAAGGTCCTCAGAAGGTCTAATAGCGAAAGATATAACCGACACGATTTTATTTCTCAAGTAATTATGCTGAATGAACTTTTTCTCACTGAGAATCCAATTTTATGTTTAATTAGTTAGCTACTTTACATTATAACTCAAGCAGCCAAATTAAGTTTGGAAACTTTTAAACAACAAAAATTTATTTCTTACTTTAGTATACAAGTATTTTTATCCTCAAAATGTTCTATTATTAAGCGTTGTATAAAACTCCAGTTGGACCCTTAAGATATTATGATTCTTGTTGTAAAATTTATAACTTTTCGATATAAATTTACGCCCCCTACCTTCCGCCCGGTTACACTTCCTTATTTTTTTTTCTCTCTAAAACTTTGTTGAAATTGTTCGCGTCCTGTCTCAAAACATTTGCCGAACACTCGAACTTTTAGACAGCCAGGCAAAACAGACAGGACAACTAGACAGGCGCGTATAGATAAATCGACGGAACCGAGCGATAGAGCTACGGCAGCTTAACTTTCGCGTCGTATAAAACGCATTTTCAACTTCGATTATTCACATCTAGCCGAGTTTTGAGATCGGAATACGATTACGCGAGACGTTTCGCGTGTCCCGCGCCGCGCTCTCGCGAGGAGTTGGCACGCGGTACGCATTTATAAAAGGAAAGAGGCGTGCCCGCCAAGTAAGAGGATAGAAAAAGGTGGTGCTTTCACTTGGGAGATCACGGGAGACGTACGTCGATACGATTGACGTGGCGCCGTCCAATTTTAGCATTTACGGGGAGATGCGGTGCCGTAGGCGCGCTCCGAAACGTCGACGCCGTTAAATCCGTCGACGGTTTCCGTATTCCGCGCTGCGCGAGTCCTCCGTGTGCGCGACGCGCGTCACGGCATCCTCGGATCCTCGGATCCTCGGATCAGAATCTTTATCCGCGCCAGGGTGTAAAGGATTTTGTATAAATCTTTGCGCGCATCCGCGCGGATTACGATTGGAAAAGCGGCAAATTGCTTTCTCCGTTCCGCGCGTCACATCCCCGCGTCGTTTTTCCCGCCGCAAACTGTCGCAAACTGCACGCGATTGATCTTGCTCTCTCTCTCTCTCTCTCTCTCTCTCTCTCTCTCTCTCTCTCTCTCTCTCTCTCTCTCTCTCTCTCTCTCTCTCTCTCTCTCTCTCTCTCTCTCTCTCTTTCTCTCTCCGACGGTATTACTACTAAAGTATCTCGATAAAAGAATACGTTTGTTTTTGCTTCTTTTTTTTTTCCCTGAAACGTTTGAGAATTACTATAGGATATTATTACATTTCTCGTAAACAATAATTAACGATTTAACGGCTCATTGTAGGACATTAGCGTAATTCGCGTTGCGAAGATTTCATCGTAATTATCCGACGCCCCCCTCCCCTATGAGAGTAATTACGAAGAGCCGTGTGATAAATCCGATTTGGCTTTGCCGAAAACACAGTGTCCCGGAGAGCAAAAATTTCTCTCGTCCAGCATCCCCGGGGATGCCAGGGGAGGCGCAACGTTCCGAGCGTCTCCTCGTTAGCGCTCAAACGCGAAATCAATCAACAAACGAGCCCCGTTCGGTCGTCGCGGCGACGGAAGGGGGAGGTCGACCGAGATAAAATCCCGCTTCCCTCCCCCCCTCCTCCCTTCTGAAAAGCGAGATAATTGGGAGCCGCGCGGGCCGCTGGTTCGGAGGCCGTCCGGCGCCCCGCCGGATCCCGCTGGACTTTCCGCGGCTCTTGTAATGGCCCTTGTAGTGGTCCTAGTAAGGTGATAAATGTCGGATAAATGTTTCAGTCTGGGCGGGGGCGTTGAGCGCCGCGATCTCCCGTGGCTCGGCGCCGCTGGTCGTCGGCGCGTGTCGCCGTGGCAATACAAGACTTACGGCGGTGATCGGTGGCCTCGTGCTGGCTCTGGCATCGCTCTTCACCTCGTTCGCCCTCCAGATGCATCAAGTGCTCCTTAGGTGCGTAACATGCTACAGTTATCGCCCGAGAGATGAGAGGAGGAGATAATATCGCCGACGATATTAAAAATAATCGACAGACGGGGGTCGATTTTTTTTCTTGCGAGTGACGTTTGACCACGAGAAATCGTCACATTATTAAAAATAATCGAAGGATACTCGTGCGAAGTTATTTTTCTTTTTTTTTTTTCCCCCCTCCCGCCCCCATTGATTCACTCTCTTTTATACACGAGAAGGAAAATATAAATATAAACGTTGAACAAATTATTAAAGCTCCTTTCACGGTGAAAGTAGTTATTTATGTATATACACTTATTATTCTCTAAGTTCTCCTTTTAGCGTCGCGAATTATATCGCCAAGTTGACAACAAGAATACTGTGCTCCGCAAAGGGAGACATCTACCCTGTATGCCGCACGAAATTTCTGTTGAAATTGGTGATATAAGCGGTGAAAGAGAGATGCCATTCTCCGCGTGCATTATACATAAAGCAATGCGCAGTGCTACACATATTTCCACATAGTATAATGGTAGTACTCCGGGTTTAATTCCGTTTTTGAATAGCTTTTGAAGCTAATACGCGTAATAGCGTCCCCGTACTTTTCAGCTGGCGGAGGGCATTAAAAAGTGATGAAAGATGAATATTTGCGGCTCAATATATCCCTACCTCTCTAGCTTTCTTTGAAACGTCAGCGACCCACCCTCGCACCAGCACCCTCCTCTTGAAATATATCGTCTCGGCTTGTCCCCTCGCCCGAGGTACTCCGCGGGCGCAAAGTCACATACGATTTACTTTTTACAAAATGCAACAGCTACGGACTGGTGCTGGGCACGGGGGCCGGTCTCGTGAGGGAAACCGCCAGTCTGGTATTGGGCAATTACTTCAGAAAGCGACGGGAGTTCGTCGAGATGGTGGTCCAGGCTGGCACCGGCGTGGGAATAGTGCTCTTCAGCGTCATCTACAAAGAAGCGCTCGGGTAAGTTTGAGTTTATCGCATATTTCATGGGGGAGGGGGGGGGGAGAGGGGGAGGAAAACTGGCGGGGATGTATGCATTATAGCCGATATGCATTACACCCCTCCCCCCGGCCCCCCTTAGGAATGCCCGTCCGACATTTCGCTCAAGCCGAGCGAAGAAGATCCAATTAACCTTCGGATCGCGCGCCATTTCTTCGCACTTCGTGTGGGCGCGCGATGCAAATTTAATATCGCGCGCTTATCTCTTTTCCTTTATCGCGCGCGGAGATCAGTAATACCGCGCGGGAAAATCGGCCGAAGAAATTGGCCGAGCCTGTTTCGTATAAAACATCCGTTTACTGCGAACTACTGCACAGAAAAAAAAAAATTCGAATTCAAAATTCAAAATTCTCAAAATCGAGAAAGATGTTTTCATATATAAGTAAGAGTGATCTTCTTAGAAAAATTTTAATCTTGATTTGATTGATTGCCAGCATAGATATTCTTATAAGCGAAAATGTTATAATCTTATAATGGAAGATTTTTAGTAAAAGTAATACTTGCACCACTACAAATTCAATTAAATCAAGACTAAAATTTTCTAACAAGATCCTATTATAAGATCATATTCTTGTTTGTGTACGAAAATATCTATCTTGATTCAAGATTTTTTTGTGTACGGATAAATTTATCGCATGAACTTTGCGCGATCGTCTTGATTAGTTTGTTAACAATTCGTGCGATTTACGTATAATGAGTATAATGAGAGAATAGACGGCTGAGCTAAAGAAGTTTATTTCTTCTCAAATAAATTGAAGTCAAACGTAATGATTGATAGAATGAATCTTCCGAGAAATGGCAAATAAATTTTTCAATAAATTATCAAAATAAAAAACGATTATTTAAATTCAAAAAATGAAGGAAAAGTAATTAAAATTCTGTGAAACACTTGACTTCATCCATTTGTCTATAAAAAATTTTTTACGTATTACATTATTAATTCTAATCGAAAATTGAGTCATTAAGGAACGAATAAAATGGTAATATTAAACAGATGCAAAACAAATGAACCTGTTGAGCGATTTCATAATTGGAATCAAAAGTATAATTGTATCTCTCTACTTGTATCAATTACAATATAAATTGTTACTTCATAATTATAATAATAATGTTACAACTTTTTACTACACTTTTCTTTACCATTTTTCTTTTAAATTTCCTTAATATTAACGCCACGAACGGGTCAAAAGGTCCTCTTTGCATAATCCTGACAGTAATATAAGAAGTGATCTCGCTTGAAACAACTAACAAACATTTAGGAGGACGTTTAACATCACGATTCGAGGAGGATTTGTAGAATATTTATAGACTCAGACTCTGTGGAGTGGCTACGCGTGTTTCGTACGTGCCGTCGTTATTCTCCGCGGGAGAGCGTGCATCCGGAAACGATGAATTTTCGCCGGCGTATAGTAACGATATTTGACGACAACGACCCCCGAAACAAATTGCGCACGAGGAGAAGCGCCGAGAGCGGCCGCTGTATGTAACATACAAAGGGACAAAGCTGCTTTCAATGCGGACCCACCCTTTTATCGTAGGATTTTCGCGCGACTGCGTGTACTCCCGAACGCAACGTACGGACGTTGCGGCGCAACGACAGTTTCCGTGCGAACAAAAAAAAAAACAGCGAGCAGATTCGACGTGGAATAATTGAACGTACCATTCGGTTCGAACCCTTTATTCTCCCACTGCGCGCCCCACCTCCGCGCGCACGCTCCCTCCCGTCCTCCTCCCCTCCCTCTCCTTCCCCTTTTATTTATCTATCTTTTGCCGGCCGTCGAAATAATGTCGTTTGAAGTTTGCCACCCTCGGTTCGGTTTGGTCCCATTGGTCGTCCCGTTATCCGCGAACGTCCGGCAAATTAATTTCAATATTGTATCTCACCCCCGAGTACCCCTTCGCGATCGTTTTACGACGAGATTAGCCCGACTTATCCCAGAAGACAGAAAACCTGGATGAGCTTGCTTCTTCTGTTTAATTTCTCTCAATTCTAATTTAACACGTGTCTAAAATTATATGCCTGAAATTTGATTAAAATCAGAGCAAGTTAATTGAAGAGTCAGATTTCCAGAATTCCGGTTATGTGATTGTCGGAAATTTAATTGCCACTTAAAGCTTATTTTTTTTTTAACGATCGATTGTGTTCATTGATATCAGAATAACGATCGATTTTCTTAAAAAAAATTTGCTCTTCAGACTCTATAAATATACAGAGGAGGAGCTTTTATGATAAAACATCAAGCGATCTTATACTTGTGTATAAATATCAAATGAAGAATATTTTATTACTAAAAAACGAAATTGTTACTTCGAAATGTAAATGCTGTAGGTCGTAGGATTTTTATCTTATGGAGGCTTTTATTGTATTATCACATTTTTATTTTAGAAAAGTATTACGAGAGATTAAGTTATTAAACGTCGGTTGAATTTTCTGTTGACGGGAATGAGATATTTACCGTCATTTAACTCCCGTGTATATAGACAACTGTACATACGCGACTTGTATATAGACAAAATGATCGTTACGCATGCGGGTTATTATTAAACGTGCTTAATTGCCGTTGCTGTGTGGCAGTTTCTGTTAGGTATAAAAGCATGTCCAATTAGAGATCGGCTCTTCTGGACCGATGAGCATAATATCGTCGGCTTGCATCGAAGTAACTCGCCAAGTAACTCGATATATGGGTTACTCGATAACTGGATAAGTTTATCCAACAGGTCGACGATATACCCTGAATTAGTTAATAATATTAAAATTATATATAGAAATTTTGAAAATCTTAGAACACACACGTATGCGAAAAAGGGAGTTAACGCGAAAAACGATCGTAACCGTAAAATGCGGGAAATCGTTAAATATCCTTATACATTTCCATTTCCCTTTATTTCATATAATAATAATATAATAATTTGTTTCTTTATTTAGTGGAGTAGAATTTATCAGATTTTCGATTGTCACGTTCGGTTGTGCATTAATCTCGACAAAATTATTTATATTGTGAAATAAATAGAACAATGTCCAAATGGATGTGTCGTAATGTCGATTACAATTTTATTTCGGGCAAAAACATCGTTTTAATAGCCAGTCGTTTGTTAGAGGATTATTATTATTACCGTAAAGCTAGCTCATGGATAATCTATATTTTATCTAACGCGAGAATCACTGCATTGCGGATACACTTTATCAGATGAATTTCTTTTATGATTACAGTAGTGTTATTAGATCTATTCTTTCGAGTGATGTCTCTTCTACAGTTTTACACGTCCTCTTCTTCCCTTTTCAAAGCAGCGGCAAACGGCAATTCTTTTAAACTCAAAAAGATGAAAGTTCAACCGGAGAGAATGTATCCGATAATTTATAATAAAAACTACATTGAAAGTATCGATATACCAAACACACATCACTTTCGACAATCTAATCATTTCATTATTTCGTTCGACACACGACGGGGACCTGACGAGAAAAATGATTAAACTAAACTAGATAGGATTTATCGCGTGTCCTCCCCCCCCCCCCGAGGGAATCGATTACCTCTTTTTTACGCTATCGTAAAAATTCCAGGGCCATATTTCTGAAAATATACGCCGAACATGTGGTAAATTTTTCATCCTTCTCCATTATGTTGCGTGGGAGGCAGCATGCGATGCACGGTTTAACTTCACCATACGCGTAGGACGGCGAATGGGGCGCGGTATGTATGCGGTTGTTGGGCAATGCGGTCTTCGCAAA